GTACCAGGCAAGAGAGTGTTTTCTACTTGTCTGTCTGTGAGCTGTGGCAAGCTGGTCCAGGAGAGCTGAACAAGATGAAAAAGCTTTTTGTGACACGTTGAGGCAGCAGAATTACCGGTTGTACCACCTCTGCAGATGCTAAGTATTTCCTATTCGTTTTCACCCCTAGTCCCACGTGCCACAGATCCACATACTTAACTTTACAAGTGGTAAGTGATCTCTTGAAGGCAGGTCCTAAGCTAGCCCCCAAGATTATGAAATACTCAAAGCAGAATTTGGCCTTGGCTAAGGGTCTGAAACTGGTGTCCCCGTACCCCTTGGCTCCAGCGTGGTCTCAAGGAAATGCTCTGTTATGCTGCGCAATTTCAAGGTTTGTAGCCTGAAGAGCTAAAAGTCTAAAGATAAGATTCTTGGCAATGGAAATTCAGAAGCTATCATAGCCTTTGATTGAACATCCCAATGGTTTTATTAAGAATGTGTCCCTGTATTTTATGCTTGCTAATTAGCAAATTTAAACACTCTATTTCTGTGTTATCTTTGTGCAAGAGAGTGGCAAATTTATGTCATTAAAATATAGCAAGAATTTAAAGGTTCACAAGCAATTAGATTTTATTATTGTTGTTTATACCCCTGAAGAATTGTTCATTTTAAAACTTTATAGTTAATATGTACAAAGATAAAACCAGCGGCCTGTCTTGCTCTGGTGACAGAAGTCAAGTGATTGAGCGAGCTGAATGAATTATTAGAGAAGATCTGCTTCTGGAGCTACTCGCTTTGATTCTTAGCTGACTGTTGCAGCCAATTTACATCCAAGAAGAGGGTCGCTCCCCGTGTTATTTGCATTCCCCTTGGGCTAGCACAGATCACGCACTGTTCCAGTTCAGAAGCCCAGAATTCCATATATGCCCGCAAAATTCGGCATAACCTTGCTCTTATTCGTGCGGCGGTCGGCTTCGCTCTCTTTTTGAGTATCAGAAGGCTCGCCTCCCAAGTCCGAGAGTCACTTAGGCGGTAACAGACCCCTCGTCCCCCCGCCGCACCGCCCCACTCCCGCTG